ACACAGGAGACATGGATATCAACCACAATGGGTACACAGGAGACATGGATATCAACCACAATGGGTACACAGGAGACATGGATATCAACCACAATGGGTACACAGGAGACATGGATATCAACCACAATGGGTACACAGGAGACATGGATATCAACCACAATGGGTACACAGGACACATGGATATCAACCACAATGGGTACACAGGAGACATGGATATCAACCACAATGGGTAATAGGTAGTCCCACACCCGCTGCCTATCGCAGCGACACGCAATACTATCAAGATCCAAGAGCCAAGCTACTGAACATCCACAATAGAGAAGAATAGTATAGATCATACAAGTGATATCCATATGGGGCGTGGATCCATACTGTCCATCCAATAATATCCATCGTGGATCCATGCTCGCCTGGCACCCCTAGGGGGGGGGAAGGTCTCGAGTCTCAGGTGGACATTAAGTTGACGTCTCTGATACTCTCCTCTATTATTGTGGGTGTTGGGTAGCTTGGTTGGTAGTGCTACGGTCTTCTGCTTTTGAGATCCTTGGTTCGAGTTGTTTGTTGTTATAGATTCAGCTACTCGGAACAAGTTCCAAGTAGCACGGGCTATGTAACCCGTGGGCTATGTGAGCCCGTAACTTACCTGGCACAGGAGCGGGGCAAGTAGCACGGGCTATGGTGAGTCCGTAGTGGACTTACCTGGCACAGGAGCGGTGCCTTCTCTGAATTAATCGACATTTCTGCCCTCATTTTATAGTTGTGTAGTGAGAGGTGGTGGGCGGTGTGGCCTCAGGGCTCCTCCTAGCACTACTGCCACAAGGAGAGGCTCCTCAACACACCACCACCGTAATGCCTCTGACTTGTAACCACTTAACCACTTACATTTCACTGCTCTTTTTCTGACATTTGGAGCGAAATTTAATCTGACAGTTTCTGTTTCTTCGTAACTGCGTCTTGACTTTCTCTTAACTGTGGTCGGGGTTCAAACCGGAGCGGTGCAGCGTTCCTGAAGGATATGGACGCCAGTTCCTGGTTGATCTGGCACGAACCACCAAGTGGCCACGATCCTCCAAACAACCAGTTTAATCCAGAGAGGTCGAGAACCCGTATCTAAGCGTCGAACCTGCGGGTTAGAGTGTCAAGCCGAGGCTGACTGGCCCGCCGGGGTAGGTGGCGCCTCTGATAATGGCCGCCATTGTCTGCCCGCCGCCACCCGCCCCGCCAAACTCTCACACGCGTCATTCCTCACCAAACACAAAGTTGCAACGACGTCGTTTTAATGTAACAAGGCTGTTATGGCAGCGTATAGTTAAGCTATGCCCTGGGAGGTGACGTTTGTGGCGTGGGGAGAGGAAGGGTGAGAGGGGGCGGTGACGGAAGATGAGGGAGGTGTGTGTGTGTGGACCATCACCACCACAACACCCGCGGTACTAAGTCACACTGTACTGCTGGACAGGTCAGTGAGCCTGGCTCTCCCAGCTGTCACCCTCACACACACACAGTTGAGAGGCGGGACCAAAAAGCCAGAGCTCAATCCCCGTAAACACAACTAGATGAGTACAAGTAGGTGAGTACACACACACACACACACACACACACACACACACACACACACACACACACACACACACACACACACACACACACACACACACACACTACCTACAAAATTCTCAGGGGAATTGACAAGGTGGACAAAGACAAACTCTTCAGCACGGGTGGAACACGAACAAGGGGACACAGGTGGAAACTTAGTACCCAGATCAGCCAAGAGACATTAGAAAGATTTTTTTCAGTGTCAGAGTAGTTAGTAAATGGAATGCATTAGGCAGTGATGTGGTGGAGGCTGACTCCATACACAGTTTCAAGTGTAGATATGATAGAGCCCAGTAGGCTCAGCAATCTGTACACCAGTTGATTGACAGTTGAGAGGCGGGACCAAATAGCCAGAGCTCAACCCCCACAAGCACAACTAGGTGAGTACACACACAGGCAGGACGAGTCGTATGGTCAAGTCTCCTTACACCCATTGCTTCTGTTCACCCAGCAGTGATTAGGAGCATGGGTCTTAGTCGACTGTTGTGGGTGGGATCCTGGCGGAATGATCAAGCGCTGCATATATCCCAGGTATACTCCATTACCCCACACGCGCCGCAAGGAACAAGTAAAATAGCTGGAAGGAAGGTAAAATATCCCGCAAGGTTACTGCAAAGAGCCGCAAGGTCCCAGAGTCCAGAATAAAGGGGTCCACGCCCGAACAAGATAAGTGGCACTTGAGCAACAAGCCGCGCGGTGTGAACTGGAGCACTGCACTGGAGGGCGGCGTACAGGTAGGGAGGTAGGAAACTTCCTACCTGGCTACCTTCCTGATAAACAGGAAGGCGCCAAAGAGTTACGGTAAGGGGGCGAGAAGTCGGACTAGCGAACAGTAACGAGTGGAGTACCTCAAGGATCGGTGCTGGGACCAATTCTATTTCTAGTATATGTTAACGACATGTTTACAGGAGTAGAGTCCTACATTGTCGATGTTCGCGGATGACACAAAGTTGATGAGAAGAGTTGTGACGGATGAGGATTGCAGGATCCTCCAAGAGGACCTGAACAGGTTGCAGAGATGGTCAGAGAAATGGCTACTGGAGTTCAAGACAAGCAAATGTAAAGTTATGGAAATGAGACTAGGAGATAGGAGACCAAAGGGACAGTACACAATGAAAGGGAACTGCCTACCTGTAACGACGCGAGAAAGAGACCTGGGCGTGGACGTAACACCTAATCTATCTCCTGAGGCACATATAAATAGGATAACGACAGCAGCGTACTCTTCACTGGCAAAAGTTAGAACATCATTCAGAAACCTAAGTAAGGAGGCATTTAGGGCGCTTTACACTGCCTACGTGAGGCCAGTCTTAGAGTATGCCGCCTCATCATGGAGTCCTCATCTGAAGAAGCATATAAGGAAACTGGAAAGGGTTCAGAAGTTTGCAACGAGACTCGTCCCAGAGTTACGAGGGATGGGGTATGAGGAGCGCCTGAAGGAACTGTGCCATACGACACTAGAAAAAGAAGGGAAAGGGGGGACATAATAGGAACGTATAAAATACTCAGGGGGATTGACAGAGTGGACATAGACGAAATGTTCACACGGAATAGTAACTGAACGAGGGGACATGGGTAGAAGCTGGAAACTCAGATGAGTCACAGAGATGTAAGGAAAGTTTTCTTTTAGCGTGAGAGTAGTGGGAAAATGGAATGCTTTTAAGGAGCAGGTTGTGGAAACAAATTCTATTTATATTTTTAAAACTAGGTATGATAGGGAAATAGGACCGGGGTCATTGCTGTAAACAACCGATGGCTTGAAAGGCGGGATCCAAGAGTCAATGCTCGATCCTGCAGACACAAATAGGTGAGTACATACACATTGATAGGGTAGATAAAGACAGACTATTTAACACAAGGGGCACACGCACTAGGGCACACAAGTGGAAACTGAGTGCCCAAATGAGCCATAGAGACATTAGAAAGAATTTTTTTCAGTGTTAGAGTAGTTGACAAATGGAATGCATTAGGAAGTGATGTGGTGGAGGCTGACTCCATACACAGTTTCAAATGTAGATATGATAGAGCCCAATAGGGTCAGAAACCTGTACACCAGTTGATTGACAGTTGAGAGGCGGGACCAAAGAGCCAGAGATCAACCCCCACAAGCACAACCAGGTCAGTACACACACACACATGAAGAACAAGGTGTTGAGGTCAGTGACGGAATGTTAATGGTCTCCGCCTCTAACAGTTCGCTGTGAGTCAATTTATACTCCAGAATGAAGACACGAGAACGCTCAAGGACAACAACAGTGCGTCAAATAAGGGTATCTACACGAAAGCCTGTGAGTTAGGCAACTGTTGTGGCTTGCATCCTGGTAAAGCTCCGTAAATGACTTACGGGATACCTCGATAAGCCCAACAGGCTACCGAGAAAGGGAACCCCATAGCAAAAAGTGAAGGCGTCCCTCAGGATCCTCTGGTGTAACATTGCGTGTGGAGAAGTGTATGTTTTTCTCCAGGTAGCGAGTGTGATGGTGGGAGTGAGTGTGAGTGTGATGGTGGGAGTGAGTGTGAGTGTGAGTGTGATGGTGGGAGTGAGTGTGAGTGTGATGGTGGGAGTGAGTGTGAGTGTGAGTGTAAGTGAGAGGCGCCAGGCGCTACCTGCTTGTGGCTTGAGTCATCGGCCTACCTGCATCTTGTGGTGGAGACGTGACAGCGTTATGTAAGATCTTCTTGAAGCACGAGAATAAGAAGAGGCATTGGTTGACCACACTCTTGTGGTCGGGAGACATTCTTCCAGGCGTCTCCAGGCTTGGAGAACAAGGGGGTGAGAGAGAGAGAGAGAGAGAGAGAGAGAGAGAGAGAGAGAGAGAGAGAGAGAGAGAGAGAGAGAGAGAGAGAGAGAGAGAGAGAGAGAGAGAGAGAGAGAGAGAAAGTTATAATGACCTTACAACCTGGGAAACATGTATGAAACACGAGTCTACAATAAGGTGAGGCGTCACCAGATTGTCGTGTATGTAGACTCTTCTACAAGGAAGATCATTAGAATTTCCCCGTCACTTCCACACCCCAACTTGTCTTAAGAGATGTCCTCCTTGTTGAGGCTGGAGCATCCATCCTGAGGCTGTGACGCCACGCCACCCACCCTTTCTGGGCCTGTACCCGAAAGGGCCCGGGTACAGGCCCAGAAAGGGCCCGGGTACAGGCCCAGAAAGGGCCCGGGTACAGGCCCAGAAGGGGCCCAGGTACAGGCCCAGAAAGGGCCCGGGTACAGGCCCAGAAAGGGCCCGGGTACAGGCCCAGAAATAAGCCTGTAATTAAGAGATAATTGGTGTTGGTGTGTATGATAGAGGTGTATGGTGCCGAGGTGCTGCCGTAAGTGTGTAAGAACATACCCCGCGGGTGCCGGCTCACCACCCCAACAACAGCTCTTGGTAAATTAACAACAACATCCCGTGTTAAATAATCTCTATATTTGGTGAATTTAACATATTTATCCTCTCATTTCTGCCAGTCATGTCTACTTGTAGCACATTAACACTGTCACCATTCTCTGTCGTGTCTGTCAGTCGCTATTGAAGTTATATTGAAGTTATATTGAAGTTATATTTGTTGTTAAAGATTCACTACTCGGAACAAAAAGCTCCAAGTAGCACGGGCTATGGTGAGCCCGTAGTAATTTTATATTTAACGAGTTTACGACGACTAACAAAACTAACACAACACAGGGATATACTGGACGACACAGCGTCTAATGCAAGTGTATGTTAACCATTGATATTATTACGGTAAGTAAATACTGAGAGGAAGTGTTCCTCTTGTGCTGGCCCAGTCACGATGGATCAGGTGATCCGCCCTGGTACCGTAATTATCAGAAGAAAGCACTAGGTCATTACGACTATATAGCACTTGGGACGCGTGGATATAGCACAGGATGGAGGGGGAAAGGAATGATGCCCAACCACTTGGACGGTCGGGGATTGAACACCGACCTGCACGAAGGGAGACCGTACCGCTCTACCGTCCACCACAACTGGTTGGGCCACCAGGAAAGGCTGGACGAGCGTTAAGAGAGAGAGAGGCACATTCACAGGTTGTTAAAAGAAAGCCATACAGCAATTACAGAGAGTTACATTAAAGTTTACACCAGAACCCGCGTGATTACGGAGGAGACTTGTGGTCACACACACACAACACACACACACACACACACACACACACACACACACACACACACACACACACACACACACACACACACACACTGTTGGAATTAGAACACTTTTTGTCAACTATTGATATTGCTCATTAAAAGATCCCCCCCCCTCCGCTCCCACCTCACATGTTTATAACTTGCCTTACGGGATCACCATAGCCCGTGCTACATGGACACTTCGTTCTGAGTAGCTAAATCTAAAACAACAACAACAACATGCCACATGTCTACCATGTGGAGCTGACCCCGGGACCTGACACAGGGAAGCGACCTGACCTCCACAGGACCTCCGCAGGACCTCCACAGGACCCGGCACTGGCATCGTGGGTCTGGCCTGGACCACCCGGACCACGGGAAGGCCAGAGAGGGAGGGGCCAAGGCCAGGCAGTTTCCCCATGAAGTCATTTGCATTAATGTCGTGCTCAAAGTTCCCATTTTGTGTATTTTATACCCCCATGTAGCTGACCAATTTGTATTCAAAACCCCTATTTTGCCTGGATGTGGGGGGGGGGGTGAGATTCAGGCCTGGCGGGTGGAGTGGGATAGGCTGTGGGGGGAAGGGGGATTTGGGGTGTGCCACTAGGGGGGGGGTGTGTGGGGGGGTGGATGGCTTGGTCCAGAAAGAGGATCACTCTGTCATCCAGGAGGATGAGGTTGAGTCTGGCCTCGAGTGACAGCCACACAGTGACTACCTGGTCTGATTTGGCGTCCTTGTCCTGTTGGGCATGTTAGTGTCCAGCCCTGGTGGTGTGTGTGTGTTGTTGTTGTTGAGGCACCACCACCACTACCACCATCACCATCACCACCATCACCACCACCACCACCACCACCATCACAACTAGAGCAACAACAACCACCACCACCACCACCACCACCACCACCACCACCACCACCACCACTAGAGCAACAACCACCACCACCACCACCACCACTAGAGCAACAACCACCACCACCACCACCACCACCACCACCACCACCACCACCACCACCACCACTAGAGCAACAACCCCACCACCACCAGAAGTAGGAACAGCACCACTAACAGCAGATACAGCAGCAGCACCAGCCACTGATATGGATCCTTGATGAAGCAGCGCCAGAGTGATGTATCTGTTCTTGCTGAAGCAGCAGCAGCAGCAGCAGCAGCTGCAGCAGGAAAAGCCCCAGCTGCAGACTATCCCCCTGGGCGTGGTGATAACAGCATCCGCTCCTCCACAACACACAACACACACCCTTCATGCAGGAACACACACACACACACACTCACTCCTCTCTCTCACAACCAAGCACACACAACCCAGTAAAAATGACCAGACATTCCAGATTACAAATGCCTTCATTTGCCTCACATCCGGAATGTCCAGCGTACGACCATCTGGAACGTCGAACCCACGAGCCGAGGTATCTAACGCTGTCATGCCATCCAGCCACCAGCTGGCGTGGGGGTCAAGACCGCCCCCCGTGGTCCAAGGCTGCCTGCCTGCCTTAAGTTCCAAGTTGCAAGTAGCACGGGCTATGGTGAGCCCGTAAGTGGAGCCAGCACCTCTTCTAGACCTCCACCAACATCACAGTTGTTATCCCAGCCACTAGTGAGTGCCAGCGCACTTCCTGTGACACGTCAGGGAGTACTGGTGGTCCTGGCACTAACTATACCATTACCAACCCCACTTGTTGTGTGGCACCGTCGACCCGTCGCAAGGTGAGTGGCCTCACCTGCCAAGGAGAACTTGAAGCAAATGAATGAATGGAAAAGCTATTACGGGCTCACCATAGCCCGTGCTACTTGCACACTTCGTTCTGAGTAGCTAAATCTTAAACAACAACGAATGGGGGGGGAGGGGGGGAGAGAGAGAGAGAGAGAGAGAGAGATAGAGAGAGAGAGAGAGAGAGAGATAGAGAGAGAGAGAGAGAGAGAGAGAGAGAGAGAGAGAGAGAGATAGAGAGAGAGAGAGAGAGAGAGAGAGAGAGAGAGAGAGAGGAGAGAGAGAGAGAGAGAGGAGAGAGAGAGAGTGCGAGAGAGAGAGAGAGAGAGAGAGAGAGAGAGAGAGAGAGACAGAGAGAGAGGACAGAGAGAGAGAGAGAGAGAGAGAGGGAGAGAGAGAGACAGACAGACACCGTACACACAGACACTAAGGCAACAACCTGAGCGCAGACATACAAAGTGTCAAGAGGAAAGTGTCAGGAGGATCAGTGACGCAGTTGTGGTATCAGTGCCCTCCCCCCCCCCAGTGAGAGCCACTCCAGATACCCCTCTTCGTGCGGCCCTTGTTTCTCTTGGTCTGAGATAAGATAGGGGGGGGGCTGTAACACCCAGGACCTCCCCCCCCCTTAGAGTTCACACCCAGGGAAGCCTTCTCCAAGAGGTCAGCCCAGATGACCTCCGGTTTATCTTGTATATTGATTAAAAATTCCTGGGTTAGTCTTAGTCAGCATAGTTTCAAGTATGTAATATTTCATGCAAGGGAATTAGACTCCAGATTCTTATGTGTAAACATCCCTGGATCTCCCCCTTTTGGCCAGGTCAGAGGTCAGTCACACACGTAATTAATAACTCCTCTCTTGAAGAGTGTATGGTGAATGTCAAACAAGCTTATTGAAATATTTCTTGAGTGTTTGTACACGTGTGGCCGATCTCTTATATTCCTGGTGTAGGTAGCAACAGGAGATCTCCCCCTCCCCCTGTGGGGGTTGTATATAGAGGCCCTGTAGGGACTTAGTAAGGGAGAGTGCCGGACACCGGGGTCCAGAGAGGGCTGTGAAGAACATCTCAGCCAGGGAGAGACAGATATCTTAAGGTAATGTGTGTGATCTCTGAGTTTTTGTTCCATGTCCAAATTTCTTAACTTTTTGCCAGTGTTAGAGTAGGATTTATAAGTGGTGATTGACATAATTTTGGTCTCAATAAAACTCATGTTAAATTTCCCGTCGGTGTCAATTGTTGAATCCTCTTAGCCTTTTGGATATAGTGGCTGACAACCGTTTCCATAATTAATGACAGTCATAGAAAGTACTCTCCAAGTCAAGCAATGTTTCTTGCCTCGTTGCTTGATATAGTCTCAATGGTCAAAGGCAGATGGAGGCAGCGTATTTCATCCTGTGTTAGCATCTCCTTGTTGGCAGTGTACTTTGTAGTCCCGGTGTAACCATCATATGTCAGCCCATAACAGTGTTACCAAGTGCAACCAATGGGGAAGTGTTACTCAGGATAAGTAGTGTTTACATTATTAGTTTAGTAACCATTATAGTGGTGCATTATAGTGGGGTGTTACAAAAGAATGGTGTTACACTGTGTATGGAGTCAGCCTCCACCCACATCACTTCTACGTGTGTGTGTGTGGGTGTGTTTTCTACTTGTATCTGCAGAATTGAGCTATTGTTTCTAAGAATCTTATATGTCGTGATCATATCTCCTTATTCTTCTTTTCCCCAGCGTGACGAGGTCTAGTTCTCTCAGTCTTTCTTCGTAGCTCAGTCCATAAAGTTTAGGTACCAGTCTTGTAGCCCACCTCAGGGACGTGTCTAGTTATATGCTCTGTGAGTTCATAGATGTTGGCTCCATACTGGAGCTACATATAACAATGCTTCTGTAACAAGTGTATCATGCTCTGAGAGTACCTTTGTCCAGGCTCCTGGGAGGGTATACGGGCCATCGTCACCTTTGGATACACTCATGTGTATGTGTACTCACGTATGTGTGCCTGCAGGATCGAACTTCAGCTCTGTTGACCCGGCCTTTCCAACCGGTGACTGTCTTATTCTACTCTAATGTCTGCCTCTAATTAAAGATAAAAAAATGTCTGCATCTCAACATCTATAAATATATATATATATATATATATATATATATATATATATATATATATATATATATATATATATATATATATATATATATATATATATATATATATATATATATATACATATTTACGTCCGGAGTTATGTTTAGCGTTATACCCACTCTCAGGGCATTTTTCCCTAGTCGTTATAGAAAGATAGTTTTTTCTTCAGTCTGTCTTGGTCCCGTTACCTGTTGTTGACTTTCATTACCCTGTACGTGCTGGTGTTGAACTCTAATAGCCACGTCTCGGACCAACTCTACAGCTTGTCTAAGTCAGCTTGGAGAATCTTACAATCCTCATGTTTCTCGGCTCTTATTAATTATGTATATACTGCCAGCGTTGACCTATAGGCCTTCAACCTCGGTACTACGACCACTAGCATACATGAGACATAATACAGTAGAGTACAGTATAGTACAGGTCCTTACACTGATCCCTGAGGGACCCCGTGTGCGTGCGTACACGCGCCTGGGCCAGATCTAAGACGCTCATGTCCTCATATCTTGACATACATCTGAAAATGTTGGAATATTCATCTGTTAATGTTGCAATGTTAAGTGACATTATCACCAAGGGGGGGGGGGAGGGGGGGACATGACCATTGTTTCTGTGTGAAAGACTATGCAAAAAGCCCCTCCTCCCCCCCCCCCGGCACAGTCGTGTCTCCCCCCCCCCCCCCGGCACAGTCGTGTCCCCCCCCCCCCCCCGGCACAGTCGTGTCACGGTTGACTGTGGAGAGGAAAGAGCACTGGAATAACAAGATACATTTATTTCAATTTCAATTTCAATTTCAATTTCTCAACGGCAGATTTTGAGTTTCAACATTTATGAGGCTATATTTTTCCAGCTCTGAGCTCATTGGCTGACATGGTGAGGACCTGAACGCTGATTGGTGGAGACTAGCGGCGGCGATAGCGTTTACTTAATAATTCATAATAATTATTTTGGTCCAGGTAATCTGTGAATAATATACTTTAGGCCTATGTCCAGCCCCCCCCCCTCCCCAAGATACAACCCCAAAACCGTTGACTAACTCTCGGGTATATAATTTACTACTAGGTGAACAGCGGCATTAGGTGATAGGAAACGTGCCCAACCAGTTCTGTGCATAAACGTTGTAGCAATCTTAGAACAATTAAGTAATAATAATAATAATAATAATAATAATTTTTATTTAGGTAAGGTACATACATAAAGAGATTTTACAAAGTTTGTTGGCTTTATAGATAGAGCTAGTACATACAATGCCTAAAGCCACTATTACGCAAAGCGTTTCGGGCAGTTTTGTTAGAACTGTGAGCGGTAACTCCCTGTGAGCCACAGGGAAGTTAGAATGAATTTTTTCGAGTGGTTGACAAATGGAATGCATTAGGCAGTGTTGTGGTGGAGGCTGACTCCATACACAGTTTCAGGTGTAGATATGATAAGAGCCCAGTAGGCTCAGGAACCTGTACACCAGTTGATTGACAGTTGAGAGGCGGGACCAAAGAGCCAGAGCTCAACCCCCGCAAGCACAACTAGGTGCTTGCGGGGAATACAATTCCCTCACACTAGGCAGGGGGGCAGGGGGGCACACCCACACAGTAGTCACCATACACCATAAACGGTCATTTTAACGACGCTGAGTGTGCTTACGTGACGTCACTATCCCCAAGGCAAGCACATCACGTACACGCACCTCCCTACGTACACACCCCACGTACACAAGTGTTTTTGTCAACGTACATTATTAAACAGGAAAGTGTACCAAGGATTCCAAGATTGTCCAGGAAGTGTTCTGGTCCAACACACCGACGACACTGTGTAACTGTGTATAATGTCGCCCCTCACCACACCCACTCACACACGCACCACACACACACTCACACACTCACCACACACACCCACTCACACACGCACCACACACACACTCACACACTCACCACACACACCCACTCACACACGCACCACACACACACTCACACACGCACCGCACCCACCCACTCTCCCACTCACACTACACCTTCTCCCCCCTCCCCCACTACACCTACTGCCCCACACTACACTACAACACCCAGCCGGAGTTCAACCCCTGTAAGCACAACTAGGTGAGTATCCTACTCCCACGGGATGGGTATGGGGTGCATAATACAGAAACAAATTGAAATACCCTACACCCACTCCCCCACACCCTACCCTACACCCACTCCCCCCCACCCTACCCTACACCCACTCCCCACTCCCCCACACCCTACCTTACACCCACTCCCCCACACCCTACCCTACACCCACTCCCCCACACCCTACCCTACACCCACTCCTCCACACCCTACCCTACACCCACTCCCCCACACCCTACCCTACACCCACTCCCCCACACCCTACCCTACACCCACTCCCCCACACCCTACTCTACACCCACTCCTCCACACCCTACCCTACACCCACTCCCCAGGCGTGGGGAGTGGGTGTGGGTGTGTAGGTGTGGGTGTGTAGGTGTGGGTGTGTAGGTATGGGTGTGTAGGCGTGGGTGTGTAGGCGTGGGTGACATGGTGTGGGTGTGTAGGCGTGGGTGACATGGTGTGGGTGTGTAGGCGTGGGTGACATGGTGTGGGTGACATGGTGTGAGTGATATGGTGTAGGTGACATGGTGTGGGTGACATGGTGTGGGTGACATGGCGTGGGTGACATGGTGTGGGTGTGTAGGCGTGGGTGACATGGTGTGGGTGACATGGTGTGAGTGACATGGTGTAGGTGACATGGTGTGGGTGACATGGTGTGGGTGACATGGCGTGGGTGACATGGTGTGGATGACATGGTGTAGGTGACATGGTGTGGGTGACATGGTGTGGGTGACATGGTGTGGGTGACATGGTGTGGGTGACATGGTGTGGGTGACATGGTGTGGGTGACATGGTGTGGATGACATGGTGTAGGTGACATGGTGTAGGTGACATGGTGTGGGTGACATGGTGTGGGTGACATGGTGTGGGTGACATGGTGTGGGTGACAGGGTGTGGGTGACATGGTGTGGGTGACATGGTGTGGGTGACATGGCGTGGGTGACATGGTGTGGATGACATGGTGTGGGTGACATGGTGTGGGTGACATGGTGTGGGTGACATGGTGTGGGTGTGTAGGGTGTGGGTGACATGGTGTGGGTGACATGGTGTGGGTGTGTATGGCGTGGGTGACATGGTGTGGGTGACATGGTGTGGGTGACATGGTGTGGGTGACATGGTGTGGGTGACATGGTGTGGGCGACATGGTGTGGGTGACATGGTGTGGGTGACATGGTGTGGGCGACATGGTGTGGGTGACATGGCGTGGGTGACATGGCGTGGGCGACATGGTGTGGGTGACATGGTGTGGGCGACATGGTGTGGGTGACATGGCGTGGGTGACATGGTGTGGGTGACATGGTGTGGGCGACATGGTGTGGGTGACATGGTGTGGGTGACATGGTGTGGGTGACATGGTGTGGGTGATATGGCGTGGGTGACATGGTGTAGGTGACATGGTGTGGGTGACATGGTGTGGGTGACATGGTGTAGGTGACATGGTGTGGGTGACGTGTGGGTGGCAGCCTCACCCCCCCCCCCCCCCAGCAGTCTCAACAAATCTTCAAACAATACCGTATTGGACTCTAAAGGTCAAAGGTAACATCGTGAGACTGCCATTCATATTTTACTGGATCAGCCGTCAGGTCAGAGGTCACGGTACAGCACTACCCCATGACCTACTGGGTCAGGTCAGAGGTCACGGTACAGCACTACCCCATGACCTACTGGGTCAGGTCAGGGGTCACAGCACCACCATGACCTACTGGGTCAGGTCAGGGGTCACAGCACCACCATGACCTACTGGGTCAGGTCAGGGGTCACAGCACCACCATGACCTACTGGGTCAGGTCAGGGGTCACAGCACCACCATGACCTACTGGGTCAGGTCAGGGGTCACAGCACCACCATGACCTACTGGGTCAGGTCAGAGGTCACAGCACCAACCATGACCTACTGGGTCAGGTCAGAGGTCACAACACCAACCATGACCTACTGGGTCAGGTCAGAGGTCACAGCACCACCATGACCTACTGGGTCAGGTCAGGGGTCACAGCACCAACCATGACCTACTGGGTCAGGTCAGAGGTCACAGCACCAACCATGACCTACTGGGTCAGGTCAGAGGTCACAGCACCACCATGACCTACTGGGTCAGGTCAGGGGTCACAGCACCAACCATGACCTACTGGGTCAGGTCAGGGGTCACAGCACCACCCATGACCTACTGGGACAGGTCAGAGGTCACAGCACCACCATGACCTACTGGGTCAGGTCAGAGGTCACAGCACCACCATGACCTACTGGGTCAGGTCAGAGGTCACAGCACCACCATGACCTACTGGGTCAGGTCAGAGGTCACAGCACCACCATGACCTACTGGGTCAGGTCAGGGGTCACAGCACCACCCTGACCTACTGGGTCAGGTCAGAGGTCACAGCACCACCCATGACCTACTGGGACAGGTCAGAGGTCACAGCACCACCATGACCTACTGGGTCAGGTCAGAGGTCACAGCACCACCATGACCTACTGGGTCAGGTCAGAGGTCACAGCACCACCATGACCTACTGGGTCAGGTCAGAGGTCACAGCACCACCCATGACCTACTGGGTCAGGTCAGGGGTCACAGCACCACCCTGACCTACTGGGTCAGGTCAGAGGTCACAGCACCACCCATGACCTACTGGGACAGGTCAGGGGTCACAGCACCACCATGACCTACTGGGTCAGGTCAGAGGTCACAGCACCACCCATGACCTACTGGGTCAGGTCAGGGGTCACAGCACCACCATGACCTACTGGGACAGGTCAGGGGTCACAGCACCACCATGACCTACTGGGTCAGGTCAGGGGTCACAGCACCACCATGACCTACTGGGTCAGGTCAGAGGTCACAGCACCACCATGAGGAAGAGTGCTGCTGGCCCTGACCTCCAACTAACTCTTGACCAAGGTGAGTAAACTCAACAGAAAAACAGAAGTGACCCACTAAAGTGAGATGAGTAAATGTAGACCATTCAAGGTGTTTATCTGGGATGAGTAAGGAGTGGGGGGCTGGGGGGGGATGAGGCGTGATGCCTCATATCCCTGCTTTTCTCTCAGACTTAGTCGCCGTCTCCACAATTTTCTCCTGCTATGCCAACTATCAATTATTTACTCTCTCCGTTCTTCCTCATCCTTCTCACGAATATTTCTCTTCCTCATTATTCTCACTCTTCTCTTCCCTCGCTCAAGCTCGCTACTTCAGTGGCTCCTTTAAATTTTGCCCCGAGGGGCGAGTTTATTGGGCAGCGTCACTCGTCCTGTGAGTGGACACACCGCCATAGTGACAGTATTGGGCAGCGTCACTCATCCTGTGAGTGGACACACCGCCATAGTGACAGTATTGGGCAGCGCCACTCATCCTGTGAGTGGACATACCACCATAGTGACAGTATTGGGCAGCGTCACTCATCCTGTGAGTGGACACACCGCCATAGTGACAGTATTGGGCAGCGTCACTCATCCTGTGAGTGGACACACCGCCATAGTGACAGTATTCGGCAGCGTCACTCATCCTGTGAGTGGACACACCGCCATAGTGACAGTATTGGGCAGCGCCACTCATCCTGTGAGTGGACACACCGCCATAGTGACAGTATTGGGCAGCGCCACTCATCCTGTGAGTGGACACACCGCTATAGTGACAGTATTGGGCAGCGCCACTCATCCTGTGAGTGGACACACCGCCATAGTGACAGTATTGGGCAGCGCTACTCATCTTGTGAGTGGACACACCGCCATAGTGACAGTATTGGGCAGCGCCACTCATCCTGTGAGTGGACACACCGCCATAGTGACAGTATTGGGCAGCGTCACTCATCCTGTGAGTGGACACACCGCCATAGTGACAGTATTGGGCAGCGCCACTCATCCTGTGAGTGGACATACCACCATAGTGACAGTATTGGGCAGCGTCACTCATCCTGTGAGTGGACACACCGCCATAGTGACAGTATTGGGCAGCGTCACTCATCCTGTGAGTGGACACACCGCCATAGTGACAGTATTCGGCAGCGTCACTCATCCTGTGAGTGGACACACCGCCATAGTGACAGTATTGAGCAGCGCCACTCATCCTGTGAGTGGACACACCGCCATAGTGACAGTATTGGGCAGCGCCACTCATCCTGTGAGTGGACACACCGCTATAGTGACAGTACTGGGCAGCGCCACTCATCCTGTGAGTGGACACACCGCCATAGTGACAGTATTGGGCAGCGCCACTCATCCTGTGAGTGGACACACCGCCATAGTGACAGTATTGGGCAGCGCTACTCATCTTGTGAGTGGACACACCGCTATAGTGACAGTATTGGGCAGCGCCACTCCTCCTGTGAGTGGACACACCGCCATAGTGACAGTATTGGGCAGCACCACTCCTCCTGTGAGTGGACACACCGCCATAGCAGTATGTACAACACTCCCCAATAGGAAGAAAACCCGCTGGGTTGTTCAGCCTGTCACCTGTACCCAGACACAGCTGGGACTTGCTTAACTGTCTCGAGTGAACAGCTTCTCAAACAAGAAGATTAACATCTGTCAACCCTTAAAATCTTACATTATCTTGCGGGTGCAAAATGGGGGAATCTTTTAAGAATCCTTCTTCCACTAAGTAGCAGTGAACCCAGGCAGCAGCGGTAGCAGGAGCATAGTGGTGATTGTATCAATGAAAGGATACCTGATCAACCAGGCTGTGGTTCATACGTCAAGGCTGCGACCAGCCGCGTCCAACAGTTGACCAGTCCAGCAACCACGAGGCCTGGTCGAGGACCGGGCCGCGAGGACGTTGAGCCCTGAAGTCATCGCAAAGTAAGGTATGATGCTGGGGATGGTAGTTGTGATGGTGGTGGTGATGGTAGTGATGGTGGTGATGGTGATGGAAGCACGTGAGCGGTGAAGGGATGGGGGATAGAACTGCCCCCCCCCCCCCCGCCCGTCCAAGCCGCACGTGGTCCCTGGCCACGAAGGAGACGGGTAGGGTTAGGGAGGGGGGGGGGAAGGGGTTAAGGATGGGGAGAGGGATACAAAACAGAGGGAGAGATAAAAAAAAAAGGGTTTCCATCACAGCGTAAAGGTGGGGGGAGGGGGGGTGCTTGGATGCTGGGGGGGGGGGGAGGGGAGGTCAAACACCTTAACTTTCTCCAATTTCTGTAATGTCTCAATAAATAATATTATGTCTATGTATTTCACTAGAACATACAACCCATTGCTTTCACAAGCTGTAATCTGACTGTAATAACGAGGTTACAGAGCCATTGAGTTAGACTTATCTGGACTCTACTTTCTAACATGGAGAGTTAGAGCCCGGAGGGGATGGACCAGTAGCTATCCTCAGACAACAAGGGCCTCCGTAGCGCAGTAGTAACACGCTCCAAGCTTCGCCAGCGATTTCCGATTTGTCGACTTGGCACTGATCTTTATAATTGTTCGCCTCAATTCACCCAGCAGGGATTGGAGACCTGGTTGTAAAACGGTTTAGCGGGTAGTGTGCCAGGAGAAACGGTTTGCAATCAAGTAATAACGTGCTTGTCTTGGAAGCTAGACGTAGATATATAAGAATACTTAACAAGAGGGTAAATATAAAAATATTGTGGATTCCTTCTCACATTGGCATGCAGGAACATGACAAAGTTGACGCCCTTGCTAAGGCTGCAGTAAATAAAGACAGTATTGAATGGAATCTTGAGTTATCAAATATGTCCCTTAAAAGTGTCATTAGACGAGAACTCCTAGATGGATTTGAAGAGAGTAGAACAGTGCAAACTGGAACTAGTAGGTCCACTGTTCATCACAATGAAATGTGTGAAGTAAAACATGTGTATGGGGCAAGTAACAAAGTCAGTAGACTAACAGATGTTGTCACAGCTCGTATAAGACTTGGCTACAAGTATCTCTGGCAGTAGGGCTTGTATAGGGATCTAGATGAAGTAAAGTGTAAAGTGTGTGGACAAAGACAGGGACACACACTCGAACACTATCTTTGATTGTAGTAAAATTGAGCCATTTAGAGATAAATCTAAGCTTACTCTGTATGATATGGCAACCTATCTTATTACCATGGATAAATTACCTGAAATCCTTGCACTGTACCCATATTTCGCTTCCAGTAGATGAACGACAAATGGGATTCAGAAACAAGTAGTGTATTGTGAGGACTAATAATAAACAGAAGCTCCCCTATGACTCTGTAATATCCCCATCGGTCAAACTATTATGTATTAGCGATAAGAACTACCATTAATGTATAATGACTTACTGTAAATATGTAGCTCTTGAAATAGCACTTTCTCTGTAACTAGCTGACATTGTATCTATAAGGTGTGAAGGATAGATAAAATTGTTTATGTAATAATCTACGATGAGGTCTGATAAAGACCTTTTGTGCCCTCTGTAATGCTTTTTGCGCTACCGCTCACAGGATGAGTATGGGGTGCACAATAAACTAGCGGCCTCCGGCGACAACAACGAGCTTTGTGAATGGACTACAAGGCTCTAAGAACAGGCGTCAAAAGTCGAACCCTCAACACAAAACGTCATTTTTACGACGTATCAAGGATTTATTAACATCATGCTGCTATAGCGGCGTGTCCACTCACAGGACGAGTGGCTCTGCCCAACAAACTCGCCCCTCGGGGCAAAATTAATTAACACGTGAGAGGGGAGGGGGGTTTAACAGCGTCGTTAGCGGCGGGGGGGCTGTTAACTATCCCTGCGGATATAGTAAGAGTGTGGTGGATAGTTTAGGATACCCCCCGTGGCGCCGAGCAGAGAGCTGCTCTTGGTGTTACCAAGGCGGCGAGGGTACCCCTCTCTCGTGTTGCCAAGGTATCACCACCAGAAGCGGTCTGGCAACACTGATACCAACACAAGGTCGACCGCACTCATTTTTACACGAACACGCGCCGTGTTGGCAACACTGAACGGTCTTGTGCTTTCTTACTATCATCATCACCATCATTATCATCATTATTACCTTCATTATCATTAAAATTACCGTCATTATCACCACCATCGTCACTGTCACCTCCATATGCAGGCGATTATCAGGCTGTTGTGATTGGTGTATTGTAACTATCATCGTGCAACTTCTTGGGGGTAATTTTCAACACTTGTCACCTCCATCATTATAGTCATTATCAAACACCATCATCAGCTAATGTGATTGTGACGCAAGTTGCACATCTTCCTAACTTAGCAACTAGACAAAGATTTATAACTGATCCTCAACCTCTCTCATTCACTTGGGCTGGACGGTCTGCAGGTCCGGCGTTCAATCCCCCGACCGTCCATGTGGTTGGGCCACCATTCCTTTCCCACCGTCCTAACCCCAAACCCTAACCCTCGTATCCCTTCCTAGTAGCTAGTTGCACTGGTCGAGTCATAGTACTAGTCGAACTAGCATAGTGTTTTCTCTTAGTAATTACCTCTCACCGTCTCTTAACTCCGTGTGTCACTTGTTTTTTCTCTCTCAGTTTCTCTCTCTTATCTAGGCTGGGGGGGGGGGGAGAGGGGGTTCCGTGGGGGGCGTGGACCTGGTATCAGGTGTAGGAGCGCCCCCCAATACCGCGCCAAGTGCCCATGACACACACGGTAGGAGAAGCAGGCAGGCACGCAGCTGTCTGCGATTCCGCCTTCGCTTCCAAATCAACAAGATGATGTTGACGGAGCCCGGGAAGCCGAGGCCAGCCAGCGAGGTGACGCTTCGGACTAGGTCACATATTCGGGCGTTTATAGTGGTGAACGTGTATATATTATATGAGGAACCTGCGCTCAGAGAGGCAGTGTTTTTCCCCTCAGTGGGATCCGTGACCTTGAGGTGCGTGCGTGTGTGTGTGTGTGTGTGTGTGTGTGTGTGTGTGTGTGTGTGTGTGTGTGTGTGTGTGTGTGTGTGTGTGTGTGTGTGTGTGTGTG